TGCGTGTTTACAGACAGGACTGTACAAAGCACTAGAGCCCACATTGGCTCAGAGCATCGACCCCCCTTGCCTTCCTAGTCTGATCAGTGCTGTAGAATGGATTGCAAGAATCCAACGACACATATAAGTACTTGGAGTTTTTTAAATACAGTATTGACTAAATTATGTTTTTTTATATCTGCTTGGATTCAGCTTAATGTAAAGGTTTAGCTGGACTTTGAAAGAAGAAAAACACAACACAGAAACACATATTACTAAAGTAGAACTTTACTGTCTAAATTAAAAACTTTGGAAACCATATGTCATTGATAAACCATGACTGCATACATGTGATAAAGCTGAAATCAACAGTAGTTGATGGAAAATATTACATACATATTTTTATTTCTGTACGGCAGATCATATCTTTTCATAATTATTTAAAGTAAAACATTACATCTGAATCTTAATGACTGGATCATGGCACTGTAATTAGCCAATATGGGGGGTCCAGAGATGGATAACTCCAGGTGCTGCGTAAGTGTCACACAGCAAATTCAGCAGATGCAGTGTTTTTAAATAAATTAGTTCTAGGTGTTTTGATAAACAATTATAATTCCAGACTCGCTTGCATTCTAAAAACATCCCAGTGCAAATATTACAATGGTTGCAGCAACCAGACCATAATTACATGTACAAAATTAGTCATTTAAGATTATTGAATTTTAGTTTACAGTACATGATTGCAACATATTTCACAATTGTGGGCTCCTTAAGAGGAAATGCAAACCATCCAAACTGTTATTGTTAAATATATATCAGTATGCCATAACTTGTACAAGAAACTTCTACAAGTATTACCTGCCATATAGTCAAAACTATCTTCATTGCAGTCTGCACAGCTGTGAATAGGGCCAGGCTTGAGAGATATGCTGCCCCCTTGCCATGACCCTACCCCCTTATCATTGATATTTGCATATTTTGTAACTATGATTAGGTAAATGGTAAATAGTTCGACCAGAATACTCTTCATTATAGAAGCTACCTGTCTAAGATCATAGAGGTTTCCACTCCAGTTTTCACATCTCCATTACTTCTTCTTCGTGGCACAGCTGTTGCAGTGGAAGGAATTCATACTCAATGCTATTTTAGCTCTGGATCTATCTTTTTTATTTTTCCACACTGACAATAGCAAAGGATAAAAGGCATGGTTGCAAGAGTTAAACTACCTACAGGCTTGCTTATACAGTATGTGCTTAAATTCCTAGGTGTGCATACCTCCTACTGTGGCTATTATGAGGGGTTCCTGTTTTGCCTGTTGGGTATCTTAATCATTTTATATTACAGAAAAGCTATAGGAGGAGCTGTAACATGCAGAAGGTGGTTGGGAACAACCACAATTCAGGAGCACAGTCAGGAATTATGGCAAAATATATTGCTGCTGAACATGTAAGAAGCCAGGGCCTGGATAAGATTATCCAAAACATTTAAGAAGAAAAAGAGCTGACTCATCTGAACTGGCTCCACCTAGCTCAAATATAACCTTTGGCTGAATAAACCCTTTAATATCAATCAGTTGTGTAACACTGAACCTAGTGCACACCACCAGGTAAGGGCTTGGGATTGTAGTCCACATGACTGTGCATACTTTAAGAGGAAGTAGGGCTTCAATCTGCCAAGTTTAACACACTAAAATGAACCAGTAGATAGGAAGTGTTAGAATCTATGGGCTCAAAAGTCTTTTCTCACTTGATGCCAGCTCTCTGAGAGGCACTAATCTGGCAGCATGCACTGCAATAAAAATGGCTCCCATGGGGATATAGGATTGCAAGCGGCCCCATCAACTGGAAAACCTGAAAAGATAGATCCAGAAGGATTTGTGTATGGTATATATAACTTGAAGTGTCCCCATCTTATCTGTAAACAGAGACAGGATTGATCACAATATATTAAGAAACATATTCACTTTAACAGTACAGGCGGCACTTTGACATTTCAAAAACCATGTTAACTGACTAATGTTGTTATAGTACACTTGTGCCTATTATATGATTTTACTTGTACAATAGCCATGTTTTGTAGATTTTAATGTTAGTGTCACACTGATATATATTTAGCAGCATCTAGAAAGTCATATTTTACCTCAAAGGCCCATCCAGCTATACAAAATCATGTTCCAGCTCTACGCATTATTGTTAAGTTTCTCACATAGAAAAAAAAATAAAGTAGGTGTTCAGCACTACGCTATCACTATCATTCAAGCATCTTGTGGTTACACCTTAAAAAATGAAATCATTTAAGCCATATATCTATTTCTCTCACTTAAAGACACACAAAAGAGCAACATTAAAATATCACATGCCACTTATTCGTATCCAAATAGAATAGATTAAAAAATATGATTCTGAATAATGAAAATGAAAACTAAACAAGCAATGAACATATGCTTCAATGGCACATCATGGTAAACACCATGACATCCTATGAGACAACTCTGAGATACTATATTGCATTATCAAGCAAGCAAAACTCTCTTAAACAAAATCTAATCATATAGTACAAAACAGCTGTGCTGTGTCTGGTAGTTAACGATGAGCTTTGAACAGTGAAATAAAGACCTTTACATACTAAGTGCAAAGATCAATGTGCAGTAAACCACAGTAAACAATCAGAAATCATATTTCAGAAGTCTGACTGTGAGATTGCAGGAAACCTACCTCTGATTGGTTTCTAAGGACTACTGAGCTACTTTTATTAGCCCTATGATATATAAAGTCAAATGAGTATGATTGCTTGCAGTTAGGGATGTGCAGATACCAAGTACCGTACTTGGTACAAGTACAAGTACAAGTAATGATACTTTTCCAGTTTCATTGAAAGACTAGACTAGAGAAAAACTCAAAAGTTAGGAGGCAGCTGTCATTTTTAAGGAGCATTGGCTATGGGGCTACACAAGTACTCACAGATACTAATTACTGATACCTTGCTTTTTAAGTGTCATGTGACAGTTTTTCTAAAACAAAACAGACTAATGATTTCAGGACAGGGCCCAGTCGCAGCTCCAACCGCTGCAACCCTTGTAGTTCTTGTGAAAAAGTATCGGCACCAATACAGATACTGGTATCTGAACATCCCTACTTGCAGTGACTCAGATATAGATCAATGTCATCTTGTGATATAAATCTTTATTGGTGTGCTAATTCTGACATAAATAAAATTGTAAGTCTTCACAAAGCAATATGTGGTCTTAACAAGTCACTAACACTCTATGAGTGCCACTATATGTACACACAGCTGAGCCTCACTGTTAAGAGTGTCTACTGTGGTTATCAGGTCCCTCTATTCAACAAACAGATTGGCAAGCTTGTTCCCCGCTCCAACTGACAGCTTAAAGTAAACCAATATAAAGGATATCCTAGTCAAAGTAAGAGTAACACACTATAGCACACATTGGAAGGTGTTTTTTCCTATCCTTTTCAATGATGCCCATTGCTCTAATCTCTCTTAATTGCCCAGTGCAAATTCTGACTTTTTAAAAATTGGAATTTGTATAAGGCTTGCCAATACTTTCTTCCCTCTCAACAGTGTACAGATATAGCAATGTCATACTTAGGCACCAAACACTGAACTTTGGATGCAAAGGAAGTGCACAAGTGTGCCTATGTGTGGAATAAACAGAAACTGCATTGGTAATGACGTAATGGCAGATACCGTATAGTACCTGCTATATGGGCTCACTCCTACATTGACAAACTTATCGATAGTGAGTTTTACTTTAAGTTGCCATTTAGTGCTTAGCAAGAAGGCATCTTAAAAGAGCTGCGTTTGCTTAGTTAACATCTGATTCAGTCATAACGCATTGAATCATTATTGAATCCTAGGTGTAGCAACCCCACATCATCTGATTTAAGTTTTTATTGAATCCGAGTTGTTCTCATGGTGGTATGAAGGAGTAAAAAGGCATCAGAAAAAAGAAACACTTCACACAGCATCTTATAGGCCTCTATCGTACCTCATTTTTGTCCTGCTAATATATCTGACATCTTTACAACTGGAGATAATTAGTGCAGGAACTTGTCTATGATCACTTTAATAACATTGATCACTGTCAGTAATGATATGTAAAGAATGTGTATAAGTAAATGAAAAACATATATACATATTACATTTTCACAAAATTTAAATATAACGTATCACTAGAACTTATCTTATCTGAGAAATACACTGCAGGAAATACATTCCAAAAAGCATTATATTCTGAATAATTTCCTTTGGTGCTACTGCTGTCAAAGTAGTGTTATCAGTCCCAAACATAAGCAAGGAAACTAAATATGTGGTTTGTTTCAAGATAATGTAAAAGAATAAACCCAAGTGAAAGGTTTAGAAAATTGACCATGATAGGGCTAGACATTTTCACTTTATCCATGAACACAGCAACAGGGGTCTCATATGCAATAGTCATGGTCCTGAAGAGTGGACAGTTCAGACTTGCACTAAAGTATGATTCTCTTTCTTTCCCTTATTATGCCATGGAGGAGAAGTTGCTATATTATGCTTGGCATTGATGACAGGTGTAATTAACCAAGGGCATAACAGGGAACCCTAGGTCACCTTTTACAGAGGGTGCCAGATATGTTTAACTACTTCTTATACCATAACTCTAGAAATTATTCCAATTGTTGTATTTTCTATCTTACACTAGATTAAAAAATAATAAGTTCTATGGTTATGATGCAAATTTACACTTAAGTACAAATTAGTAAATATCCCTTAGCATATTTCAACTGGAATTCCACTTTGAAATAAAAGTGTACCCCTGTTTCAGATACCTTTATAAAGTAACATGCAGGTGTTTCTTTTCATACTCCCTATATAGAATATTGGGGTATATGTATTTCTGCTCCTTATAGTTTCCAAAGTCACCCAGTGGCTTTTCCACCTGCAGCAGCTCTTCAGATAAAATGTGAAGTTGCAGATCCTGGTCCGGGGAAAAAAAATGGTTGCTATCAAAATGGGTTGGAACCCAATTTTAGAAACACAACTTTTAAATGTATGTTTTTTAAGCACAAAGGAATGTTTATGGATTGCATGAAGTGTGTGGGTTCACATTTAAGGAAATAGGGATAATGATAACAGCTACATATACATCGGCATTTCAACTGCTTTCAGTAACCTGTTCACAGTGATGGCTAAAACTAAAGTGACTGTTGCAGAAAAAAGGGACAGAACATGTCAGAATTAAATTCAAGCAAAATATCCTACTTATTCCTTGAAAGATACAAAAATAGCAATTCCAGATAGTGGTAATCAAGGCAATGTGTGCAATGTCTACTTTGTAAGTCAACTTTTCGGTGTCAAATTATTGGTGCTGTTTCTAGAAGATGTAATTGTGCACCAACTAACTTTATTAATAATTGGTTGCTTTGGTTAATTTTTTTTTTAAATAAATGAATCACTCACAATAGATACCTTAGGAAATTCACCACTACATGAAAAATAGCCCTCATACTAGAGCTAAGCTCCATTTTAACCACAATATGGCCAGAACTGTTCCAGACAGTCAGAGTATTATTTATCTAGCTCACAAGATATCCCTCTTCTTATTCTAAGTTTTTTAGTAGCCACCAATCAGGACTGTAATACCACTAATCACATGAACAACGTTGACTTGTACAAGACATGTTCATGATCTACTGGTACATATGCTACTCCTGCTCTTCGAGTCTTTTAGTACTATGAGGAATGCAACCTACTACATAGACATCAATATGTACCTCCGACATAAAAAAGTATTTGACAATAAAAAATGTCTTTCACTCTTTGAAATCTCTGCTTTGAGACTGTAAAGTACCTGCTGCACTGAACAAAGTTTGCCTTCTGATAATTTATGAGGATTATTTAAATCTCCAGGTCATCAGGTCTGGGCCTGCTGCTTGCATGGCTACTTGCTCTGCTTGAAGGCCTGTGGTCAAGTGTACTGAGAGGCTGCATTTCATGTCCTGGTGGCATTTTTTTTACATTCTGGTGTTCATCTGGAAAGTCAAATGGCTGAGCGTGAGTGTTTGAAATAGTGCTTCCAGCTTGGCCCATCCTGGTTTGTTCTGCACTGTAATTAGCCCAGTTTTGTTCGCTTGCTTGTTTGTTATAATTACGACAGGAAGAAGGGTTCCTGTCTTCAGTAACAAGCTTGTAACCTGGTGGTGACATAGGCGCGGTTGGAGAAGAACAGCCATTGAAATATGCATACTTAGGGGAACCACAATCCTTGGCAGGATTCACTGCATCGTTTGTGGTGGCATAGGGGTCCTTCTTTCCTTTAATGCCATCCTTGACACTTTTAAAACCAACATAGAACAACTCAATGATGTTTAAAGCAAGTGATACTAAAGACACCACTAGCATAAACCAGATAAAAATGGTTTTCTCAGTGGGACGGGAAAGGAAACAGTCAACTTGATGTGGGCAGGGATCTCTTTTGCAGGTATAGATAGCATTTAAACTGAACCCATAGAGGTACCATTGGATGAGAAGGAAACCAACCTCAAAAAATGATTTGAACAGAATGGTTATCACATAAGTACGAAGTAGACCACCACGCATCTTGACCTTTCCATGTTCTTCCAAGCCATATTTGAATTTCTTTATTTCAATTTGCTTAAGATGCATGTCCACATTCCCTCCATCATTCTGGACAATTTTGAGTTCTTCTTCTTTTCGGTTCAGTTTCTCCTCTTTGCGCATCAAATAAAACACATGTGCTAAATATAGAAGTGTAGGTGTAGAGACAAATATAATTTGGAGAACCCAGAATCGTACATGAGAGATTGGAAATGATTTGTCATAGCAGACATTTTCGCAACCAGGTTGTTGAGTGTTGCATCGGAATGCAGATTGTTCATCACCCCAAGCAGACTCTACTGCAGTGCCTAATAACAGGATCCGGAAAATGAACAGAACAGACAACCACACTTTCCCTCCGGCAGTGGAATAGGCCTGCACCTTATCAAGGAGTCTTCCTAAGGCACTCCAGTCACCCATCCTTAAAAGCCGTTATCTAAAATAAAAATGAATTTGAAATAATAGTTTAATAAATATTTTGCGGTAACAATTTGCAGTTCAAAACCCATATATGTATTTTAATTTGCATTCTGAAAATAACATGTGTTTAATGTTTAATTTGATCAACTTCTGCCTAAAAAGAACAAGATATGGTTAGTAAACACATAACAGCAAATTCTCATGGGATAACACATGTGCTTAAAAACTGAATGGATGTTCGCCTGTTTTGTTTATATTGTAAAACATGCAAGGTATATTCATCATAGGGTACCTGCAATAAAAAAAAGAACTCCAAAGCTGAAAGGCCTAAAAGACTGAAAGACTGCATTTCCTAAATATAGGCAGGCTGAATCAATACAATTTCCAAGTAACATAATGATTTACGAAAGAAAGAAAGAAAGAAAGAAAGAAAGAAAGAAAGAAAGAAAGAAAGAGAGTTAAACATAGGCAGATGATGAGAAAAAATAGAGAGCAAGCATGATGCAATAAGAGCGAGGTAAATGAAAAGGACAGTGAGAAGCAGATAAAAAAACAGATAACCGGTGAGAGCGGGAGGAAGAAACAAAAAGGGAAGGAGTAAGTGAAGAGGTGTGTGACAGAAAAATGAAAAGACAATGAAAAGGGAAAACAAAAAAAGAAGAAAGAGAAAAAAGAGAGAGGAAGATAAGGAAAAAAAAAACAGGTAGCAAGGAGAAGAGAGGAAAGGAGGGAGGAGAGGAGAGGGGAGAGAAAAGGAGTGCCAGGAGAGGAGCGGTGAGGACTATAAAGGAGAGGAGGGTGGGGAGAGGAGATAAGATGAAAGGAGAGTTGGGGAGAGCAAAAGCAGTTGGAGGAGAGGTGAGGGGAGCATAGAGAATGTGAGAGAAAGGGATGAGATAGGGATGAGAGGTGAGCGAAGAAGAGAGTTTGTAAAGGAAAAGACAGAAGAAGAGAGTGGGGGAGAAGAGAGGTGTGAGAGGAGGGAGAAGGATAGGGGAGATAAAAAAGAGTGTACAAGAGAGAAGAAATGGGAAGAGTGAAAGAAAGGAAGCCTGGAAATGTGTGAAAGAAAAGAAATGGGCAGAGGATGGAAACACGTGAAAGAGAAAGGATATGAAAGAGAAAAATATGGAAATCTGTGATTCTAAATAGGTTATGCATTAATTCTACACATCTTTTGAGCAAATGAGGAGCATTTAGGGGATGTTCACTATGAAATGATGCTAAGATCTTCGACTCATGTATGGATGACTACTCCAATTACTCTAAAAAGAAAGGATTTAATAATGAAGCAAAGAATACTGATTTTTCTCTTGGAGATCATTTTGTAGCCCTCAGGATTTCAGGGATCAGATTAATTATTCTTATGATATTATTAGTTAATGGAAGGATTAGTAGATCTACTACATGCAGACATTTATCACTTTACCAGGGTAAAAAGTAAATGAAGGTTTGATCATTTTTCTGTTGTAGTTGTCAGACCTCATGCCCAAAAATCGGACTCTGTATATATGAAGTACAATGCTTACAAATTCTATCACATGCATCTCGAGCTTTGTGTTTCCTAAACCATAATGACGATTAAAATAAGTCACAAACAAGCACCAACTCAATGGGGTTGATTTACTGAAGGCGAATAGGCTGTTCACTTTATAAGGGGATTTGCACTTTCAGGCAGTTACATCTTAGTTTAGTAAATGGGTGGGACTTTCATCATCCAATTATGTGCAAGCAAAAATGCTGGTTTATGTTATTTAATTTTCCTTGCACATGACTAGGTATTCTTTGCAGAGTGAACATTCCCTTACAATGCCTACAGCCTATTTTCCTTTAGTAAATCATCCCCAATGTCTCACACATCTTTAGACCTTTGCTCATTACAAGGACCACCATATGTGAAAACTATAAAGGTCTTCCTCAAATCAAAATGTAGAGCTTACATCATTCTCCTTCATATATCTCATGTGATATTTAAAGTGATACTAAACTCAGCAGTTAAATCTTAAAAATGCATTTAGGTACCCTAACTATCAACAAAAATGTACCTTATTTGTGCATCACTCAGCTGTAGATCCTCAAATCATCACTTAATTGGTGTTGACACTGTCCTTCCTTCTGGAGTGTGGCTACTTTTGTTCCCCATGATCCCTGTGTTTGTTGTACAGTAGTCACGGCTCCAAGCATACTCCTGTGATGGGCTACCATCTCAATACAAATTATGAAAAAAAACATGAGATTTTAGTCACTCATGGGAGCAAGCTTGGAGTGGTGGCTACTTTACTACACACACATGGACCATCCTGTAGCCACCCTCCAGAAGGAAGGAATGTGTCAGCCTAAATTCAGAGATGAGTTGAGGATCTACAGCTAAGTGATACACAAATAAGATACATTTTTGTTGATAGTTAAGGTACCTAAATGCATTTTTAAGATTGAACTCCTGAGTTTAGTGTCACTTTAAGGATGATACTGTGTGTTCTCCTAAAGAATACAACTGTCTGGAATCAGACTGAACTAATTACTCCACTGCTGATAGCCAGGAAGACTGCCACGTACAACAGAGCAGGATAAAGATAGATAGATAGATAGATAGATAGATAGATAGATAGATAGATAGATAGATAGATAGATAGACATATATAGATAGACAGTGAATATAGGTGAATATAGGGAGAGAGAGAGAGAGAGAGAGAGAGAGAGAGAGAGAGAGAGAGAGAGAGAGAGAGAGAGAGAGAGAAAAAAAAAAAAA